CCCTAACCCTAACCCTTAACCTAACCCTAACCCTAACCCTAACCCTAACCCTAACCCTTACCTTAACTTGAATCGGCTTGCTTTCAAAGCGCTATTTAAAGCGCCCTTCTTTCTCCGCGCTCACTGTTGTCGCCCTGCTGATGACATCAGCGACACGGTTTAATCGGGCACGCTTTAGTCGAGCGCGGTTTTGTCGTGCCACGACAAGAAATATATCCAGAAAGTTTCCAAATTTCTGCAGAAAATCTAAATGTTGAACCATAACTAAATCATGGAAGAAATAAAATATAGAATTCTTCTGTCTGATTGAACTTTTTGATCTTATAATTTCAAGATCAATATACGACCGATATGCTGAAACTTAAAAAAAAACCACCCTAGAGCACATCTAGGGTTTGAAGTTTGAGCATTATCAGTGAATACTCACATTATGTCTACAAATTCATTTTGAATCTAGTATGTCCACCCATTCTTCAGGTCAATGATTTCCAGATAGACTAGGATTACAATTTCCAGTATCTCTAGGTTAAAACCCAGTCATATTTAGATAGCATGAAGTTGGCAAAGACAGCATAGTACATACCTTTTCTATTCAATTCCAGGTAAAACCATCTGTTGAAACTTGAACACTGTAACATAATTACAACCTAGTATTATTTTAAATGAGGCATACACAACCTTAATATATTGGCTTTGAAAATTTGCTATTCTCTCACAAATATGGTGAAGAAAATGTTAGATTAGAAACCACACCCTTGGTCTCAAGAGGCTAAAATAAGCCTGGTTAAAAAAGCTTTCCTTAGACAAAACCACAAGTTTCACTGTATTTTGAAGTCACTGAATGAATGCTCCAGTTGTCTTTCTTCTAGCAAAGGTATTCATAAAAACTATAGCTATGAGACTGAAACAAAGGAAACAGTGCAATCCTATACTTGGGTGATCAAAGAGTCAGTGGTGGCACTAAGTCTTTAGTTAAAATATGCTCAGTAGCCTATATATCTTCCTGTTGAGTTTGTAAGTTACATGTAGCTCAAGGCACTTTTTGCAGGCTTGCCACCCAGGTGAAAAGGAAATAACCTCACCTAGTTCTTCAGAAGCAAAGAAAACTTCAAAAGTGCACATTCGAAACCCCACCTTACGCTGCTGAGTCAATCAGCCCCCCCCCCCCAAAAGCAATGATACAAAAGATACATGGGCTAAAACTGCAATTAAAGTTTAACTTTTCTCCTCCTGAAATCCCAGTGAACCACTTCCCCAAATATTTATTAAATACTGATTTGCACCACACTAAATTGTAAACTAACCAAACACAGTTTGCTGAGTGATGTGACGTGAATGCTGAGCCTAGGGCTGAGTATTGTATAAACACAGATAGTTGCATTAATTCGGTAAACCACAGTTAAATTAACCTTGCCTATAAAGGTATCTGCACGGGCACAACCCAGTTAATTGTGAGATGAGAGACTTCTTCTTTCTGCAATCTTAATGTGTTGGGGCAGGTTTACGTTCACATGATATACCAAGGAACAAACTAGCCAAACCCTATTTTAACCTAGCTTGCTATAAAAAGCCCGGACTATATAGTTATTTACGGTGCAGCAGGATGTTGTGCAAAACCAGAGAACGAAGCAGGGCTCCATAGTTAAATAGCCCTTGGTTGCCAAATGCCTCGATAAAATTGAGAAACATTTGAATTACAGGTCAGACTGCGACTGGAGCTACCGAAGAAAAGCCCACCGCGGACTTTGCCCAGGTCCGGCTCGCGGCTCGCCATTGAATTCTCCTGGCCAGCCGTGAAAAGTGGCCGGGCGGCACTTGTGGCCGCTCTGATCCCTCCGCGCCGCAGAGGGAAGCAGCGAGCCGGCGTTCCGACAAGAGCTCGAGCTTCCTTTCCCTTCCCGCCACTGCTCGTCTGTCGTTAGTATCCGCCGCCGGGCTGGGAAGGGAAGAGAAGGCGAAAAGAAGAGCAGAGAGAGAGAGAGAGAGAGAGAGAGAGAGAGAGAGACAAGGGGGTCGGGTCGCTGCACAGCCAGGACCGCGGGGCGAGGGAGGGGCCAGCAAGGCCGACGACTAGTCGGCTGAGGCCTGGTCTGAAAGCGAGCCGACCTTCCAGCGACAGCAGGCCGAGGCCGCCCGTCGCCTCTTCGCCGGGGGAAGAAAGTAGGTAAGCGCCGGGTCTGTTCGGGCCTTGCGGGCCGCAGCTGACCAAGTCCAGCGCGGAGCGGAGCCTGGGGAGGAGGAGGCCCGTCATGAGAGAGCATCCTTCTCTCCTCTTTGCTTTTTCGAGGCCTGGCCGGGCGGGACAAGAGGCTCTCTGCCTTCCCAGCCGCCTGGTCGTGGAGTGGGCGAGGGAAGCGCGTCTTGGGCGGCGGTGTGTGTGCTCTGCGGATGGCCTCTTAACTCCGTTGGGCGGAGGGAAGAGAAGCAGGTTTCTCGTCGCCGTCGTTTCCAACAGTTGAGGCTTCTAAGCCGCCTTCGTGATCGTCGCCGGGGAACTGCGAGGTGGGAATCGGTGCCTGATTCACTGTTAATTGGGGTGCAAAAGGGAGACGCAACCCTGCAGCTCTCCTGGCCCTTTGGTGTAGGGAGAGGCGAGCATTGTTAGCTATGTCAGCCAGATCCAGGAAAACTTTATTTGCTTATTGGCCCCCGTCTCTCCGTCTTTAGGGAAGGAGAGACTTTGTTCAATCCGGAAATGTTAGGTTTAAAATATATACATATACATGCGGCCTTAAAAACTGAAAGGCAAAGAGATTCTCGTTAGGTTTGTTCGTCCAGTTTAGTGTTGCTTTAGAAATGAAAAGTTATTTGCCTTTCTCTTGCAAAACTATTGAGCAGAGAGGCCCAGTTTAGGTAAACATATCTACATCGATAAAAGTAGCACATCTTAATTGCTAGATTCGTTTCATAAATGTTCTAGGCCTGGGATTATGTTTAAATATTTAAGCGTAGTGCTAGTTGTTATTCATGTTACCAGTGATTTACTATATAAGTTATTCCCGGTGGGTGCTCTCTTCAGTTAATTGGTTTGACTTACTGGTGTGGGTATTCATCGCACTCTAAAGCTAGATAATTGTGGCTTTCTAATGTTTATGAAAATGCATGCTTCTGGATTGGTTTTCATAGAGCTGAGATTTATTTTTTTCAGTTCCTGGTAAATGTATGAAGAATAGCAGAGGGAATAAAAGGCAATGTAGATTTTTGTTTGGAAATTGTAGATCAAGGTCTTCACAAAATGCTTTGCTTAATGGAATTGCTTCTTTAAGTAAAGTTTAATGAATATGTTTCAAATCATACAGAAGTTACAAACATGGACTATAGACAAGCTGATTCTAAAAGCTGAGAAATGAATCTGTCTCTCTCCCTTAGAGAGAGTGGGGTAAGATCTGAGTAAGTCTTGATCAAATGAGTTCCTCTTTTTCAGTGGAAAAGCTGATAATAAAACTTTCCATGCTGATTAGTGGATGCAAAATAAAAGATTAAAAGTGTAAACTTTTCGTTCTGTTTCTAAAAATAAAACAGTGATAAAATATAAACAAAAGTATCTGACCATTTAAATTACATTTTCTGATAAAATGTCCTTGTAAACACATTCCAAGAAATGGTAAAAGAAAGTTTGCTTTGATAAGATTTTATATGATATATGCTGCAGATAAGGCTAATGAATTGTTGGATATATATGAAATTAATTAAATTCTAAATTTATTTGTAGGTACTAAGAAAATGGTAGAAAATTGAATAGGAATATTTTTCTATGTAAGAAATTAGTTGATGTAGTTTCTCTTCAATGAATCCTAATAACTTTCAACAAAGCACTATTGTTGCTTAATAACATAAATCAAATACTTTGATAACAGTTCTAAATATTTGATAAATATAACGATCATAGAGTTTCTTAAATTTAGCTCATTTATTTTCTCTCAGTATTAGTGTTTCTTCTGTCTCTCTTTCTTGATGCCTGTCTGGTGACATTTGGGACAGCTTTTCATGGGGCTTGAAAGATGCACTTAGAATGGAGTATTGAGAAACCTTCCCTAGTATGGCTTTTTAGATATTGGCCATTGTTTCCACTAGCCTTGTAAATATTCATTGCAACTACATGCATTTTGGAAGTCACATAACAGCTTTCTATACATGCATGCCTACTGACTGTTTCAGTGTTAAAAGACTCTTAAGAGATTATATCATGTATTACTGTTAGTTACAGGCCAAAGACTTGTTCTGCAAAGTTATGTCAAGAATGCTCTACCTCCCTGAAATGTCTAGATTCCTAAGATAAAATGTTTGTTCAGGAGGGGAAGAATGCTTCTGATTCTGATATGATTGACACTTTTTAATATTGGTTTTTAAAATTGTATTCTTACTATAGTTTTATTTTAATAAAGGCTACTTAGATACTGTCTTAGTTCTATAGTTCTTTATAAATACTGGCATTTTAAGTAGTCATGAATTCATGAGGATCAGATTAATATCTGCAAAATTAAATAGCCTTTATTGTCATTATACAAAATAGATACAACAAAATTGGTTCATTAACACTATTTAAAACACATAGTTCCTAAGGTATATTTCCATTACAGCTTGTTCCTTTGAGAACAATTTCAATGCATTTCTTTAAATTGGAAGTCTTCTTACTAATCACACATGTATTTAAATCATATTGGAACTAGATTTTTAAAATATTTAATCAGCCTTAGTATGTACATTACTTAATATAATTATTTGCAATATATTGGAAGACAAATTAGATTTTCCACAATTGAAGTCTAACTGAATTTTCAGTGTCTTATATTTAAGACTGATTTAAGAAACCCATGATTGATTCTCAATAGAAAAACTTTAGGTGCTCATGATGATTTTTATGAATGCTGTTTACTTGCAAATCAAAACTCTTAAATCATGTGGCAAGTAGTAGAATTTTGTTTGGCATTTTGCCAGAAATGTAAGAAGTTTAAGAAAGTAAAGAATACTGGTTTACTTTTTCATTATTGCAATTTACATTGATTTATGTAGTCATATGTAGTCTGTATATCTCTAATTTTGTTTTAAAATGAAATGGTGTAATGCTTCTTTGCTATTTGTTTGAAATAATAGTAAATTTGATTGGTTGGTTTAGAAACTACAACAGTGTAGGTATATATTCCAGGATCAATTTCTATGTCATATTTCATGAAAAAATAGGTTCTGAAGTGTTAATAGTATGTTCTGGTCTTTTCATTGAATGGACACCTATTTTTTTAGATTAATTGAAGACCAGCCACAAATAATCTACTTTTAAAATTTCTATTCTAAGGGGAAATCCAGTAGTTAAAAGCACATCAAGATAAGTATCGTAAGATTTACAACTTGCTTTCAAAATAAAGCATCTTTATTTCAGGAAATATTTACAGAATAAGTATTAAATCCATGACAATGTGATGAATTCAGTTATAGTTACTTTTCATAACATTTAGGTAGTGTAAAATCAGGCAATATTGTGATTTAAATGCAGTATATAACACTTGAATCAGTATAGATTTTTAGGATCAAGTTGACAATTTTGTAATCAAATTCAATTATTTGGCAGAGAAGTGTTCCAATTACAGGTAGGATATCTGGAGGCCCTTTCACTCCCTTGTGCAAATAAATACTCTCTTGTTTTATCTAAACAACACCTGGTAGTTAACTGAATTCTGACACCTCTTTCCTGGTTTTGCTTGCAAGAAACAAAATTCCAATCATATTAGGGCTGCTTCATGAGGCTGGACTATAGTGTAAATTTGTGACTATCTTCTACACAACATTTTTCTAAAGTTACAGAAAGAATGGAACTTATACTGCTACATTTTGATTGTTGACACAACTTAATTTGTATCACAGTGCTGACATAACCTTTCAAAATGCTGTAGTTTTTATATTAAATTATTTGTATATTAGTCATCCTTGCAAACAATCCCAATCTGATTTACAGATTCTTAAATCATTCCAAATTAAAGTAAATTGTTGAGATGTGCTGTGACACACATTTCTAATGCATTCTTACATATTTAGATTATATATAAAAAGAAAAAAGCTTTACAGATAGTCCTTGCTTAATAACCCTAATTGGGACCAGAATTATGGTGGCTAAGTGATATTATTAGGTAAACAACATGTGAATGCACTGCTTAGCAATACCAGTTTCAGTAGTCCTGGTTGTTGTCATTAGCCAGGACCTCACGCTTCTCCTGCCCTGCCTCTCTAGTCTCCAATTCTCCTTATCTTCCTATCTCCCCCATCACTGCCCCACCACACTGCACTCTATCCTGCACCTTGGCAGTCTAGAGGTCAAAAAGATCAGAATAGTGCAAGCAGGCCAAACAGTGGTATTCTCTATGACACTTTAGGGAAGCAAAAATTGGAATTTGAAAAAGTAGGACAGAAAGAATATTGACTCTTCTGAATTTTTAGTGGTAGCAAAGTCTTGTGAAACTGTCATGGACAGCCACGGAAACAAACGAATGGATCATCACGCAGAGCAATCACAGCAGTCAAGGCACAAATTATCTTACTTTGACTGACTATGGAAGAAGAGGATGACAAACGGCATGGGGAATATACTGAATTATGATGATAGAAATAACATTGGAAGACATGAAGGACCAGGTTAGGGACATATCCTAATGAAGATTATCTATGTCATTGCTAAGAGTTGACACTGAGTTCATGGCATATAACCAGTGAGTTAAAGATTGATTTTAGGGTCATGACTATCTCACAGATGTTTTATGCAGTAAATTTTCAAATCTTTGAATAGAAATAACTCTTGCACCTGAGTTATAATACTGGCAATCTTGTATTCTAAATGTGGCAATTATGACAAATAACTTTTTTTTCATTTTTGTCTATACTGCTGTAGGCCTTTGTATTCCTCTCTAAATGTCTTACACCTGTACATTTATGGCTGTTGGCCATTAATAGTTAAACATTAGAACGTAGCTTATATAATAATATTATAAAGTATTAGACATCAGTTGTAGATAGTTTATTGATTAGAACCATTCCTTAGGTGGAGAAAATGAGGATATTTACATCTTATAAAATTGCTTCAGAATTGCTAAAGGATTAACTATCCAGAGATAGATTTGTCAATGTAGTATGGTAGCACTTTTATACTTTGCACAGCAGCAGTTGCATTTATGGTGC